AAATGCTTCGGGTGCACCAGCTATACCCACAATCCAAGATAGACGAATAAACAAGATCACTCCAAATATATTTTGAATGGTCGGAAAGTAAACACCCATCAAAGTGCCCATTTTTGCACCCTGAAACAAAAATTTTTTTATTCAAGAATCATTTGGGTAAAAATGATATTTTCCGGGAAAAATGATATTTTCCGGTGAAAAAGCACAACGCGAGATTAGCGGACGCACGAAAACGGAAGTTTTTGGAAAAAGATCTACAATCAACGAATGATGATAAAATGGAAGAAAGTAAAAAATATGTATCTTGCCTGTTTTCTTTTTAAGGCAGTTTTGCCTTCTTGGTCCACTTGTGTCGGTGCTGCTTGTACTGCTTCGTAACTTGCCAATTGAGACAATAGAATAGAGACCTTGGGACGTTTGAGCATGTCAGCCTGTGGACGATCATGAAGTCATTGCATTTTAAAAAGTTCTGTCATTTAATTTAACACCACAGCTAGAATTAGAAAGACCGTCTTAGAATGAGTAAAACTGCAAAGATTGGTTGCTAAATGTTGTAAAATGAAGAAAATATAGCCCTGTGAAGTTCGCAAATTTTGTATATATTTGTATTACGCGCGGTAGAAATAACCACTTTCGGCTCAAAAATGGTTATTTTTCCCGCGCGTAATGCAAATATATACAAAATTTTCGAACTTCACAGGGCTATATTTTCCTCATTTTACAACAATTCGCAACCAAACTTTGCAATTTTACTCATTTTAAGATGCTCTTTCCAGCTGTGGTAATGGATTTTGTTCTTCTTATCTGGATCAAAATTTCATCTATTAATCATCCATTAAAGTTGTTTTTTTATTGATTGTTGTGTCAGTATTAGTAATACTTATAGCTTTTCAAGCATTTTTACAGCCGTTCAAAAAATTTAGGAGAGCCAATGCTGCCCTTGCTACTTTCCCTACCTCATATAAAGGCAATGTCCCAGTTGTGGTGTCTTCGTCTTGTTTATTGTACAGTGGAGCATGGCATTCATCTTCTGGGTTCACCCCGCCAAATATGTCATTTCTGATGTTTGTGTTGCCATCTTTGGAAAATGAAAAATTTTTTGATCATGTCATCTTGACGTCGTTTGAAACTGAATTTCATTACGCCATTATTGTTTTCGAAAAGACATGAAAAATAGTCTATGAAAAGTAATACCAAGGCTTTAGATTTCCAAGTTCCTGATTGGCTGCAGGTTATCAGCATTCAGATCAAGCCTCGTCACATTTCATTTGCAGGTAAGGAACTGTATAGGTCCCGCATATTTTTGTGGAGTGTATGGCAATTCACGACTCTTTAGTCGGTCTTATTTATTGGTCCCAGGATTGGTTTACTGCCCCCAGCATATGTATCCCCAAATATGCATTACCTGACTGTATCATTTCTAAACTTTCTAGGTCCAGTAAGGGCCTTCACTTGTTGGTCAAGGGTTACTACTACAGGAGGAAGGAGTTAACCCACTCACTCGCATTGCAGTATTGCACCCAAATGTGCCGTACTTTATCACTCTGTCAGATGCCAGACAATTTTACTTGTCAAGGGAAGAGTGCACCTGGTGCTCAATGGGTTTAAAATGTATACCTAAAAAAGATCTGCAATATTTAGCAGAGTTAAACAAGAAGGCACTCAAGATCTCCGTCATCCGACCGAGCCAAAATTTTACTGTAATCATAAATTTGCACGTTGCAAGAATCCAACTCGTGTTGCCGAGGTAAAAATGCATGCCATATGCAAATTTTGCATTCTTGTTCTGGATTGTGACTAAGATAATTCCATGTGAGGTTCCTTTGGGGGTGGGGGGATGGGGAGTCAGAAATTTTGTAGGTTTTACATATGCCTATTGTTTACTACAGTTGTTTTTTGTGTATGTGGCAGTGGCGATGTCATCCCGCTATGCAAATATTGCCATGTTTATAATCTATCAACACAATCAATTTCTAAAGAATAGAATAATGATGAGTTGAAATTTGCATAGCGGGAACAAATCTTCGGGCTGGCTACACCACTGACAAGGGGGGGGGGTTCAATTTTCATTTTTTTTTGCATTCAACAAAATTATGCCCCCATGACAATTTATACTAGATAACTGAAGATTGATATTAGATTAATTATATTACACCAATTTTTCAACTTTTAAAATTTGTTTTGTTATTAATTGTCACTGTATTATTTACGAGTAATAATATCACCGTATTAAATTGAAATCATTTGTGGACGATTTCAAATAAAAATTAATAATGCCCGTTTTAAATATTGAACACTAATATTTATATATAGATAATTTTGTCAAGCTCGGGTTTATATAAACGTTAATCATTTTTTATTTATTTAATAAAAAATACGCTATTAAAAACCTTAAACAATGTACTTAAGCTAAGTAAAACTAAGTGGGTTTTGATCTTTGAATTCCCCCGTCGTGAATTTGTAAACATGGCCTATATATTATACATGATTTCAAAATGAAGCGATCAAATTTCCCCTTTGCCGCGGGGTAGCGTACGTTCATACCTAATTCTTTGTTGTCCTCAACAATAATTTCCACATTTTCTGTGTCCTCTGCGTTTTCTTGAATTGTTTCAGGAATCCCACCGTCTGTCTTTGAGACGACAAACCGTGCACTCATTATTCAAATTGTTTTTATTTTCTTACCCAGTCAGCCATGACCAGTTGGTTGTTCATTCCGAAAAATTAAAATTGTGCACATTTGGCGGGCGGCTCAACTTTAGGGTGAACAATCGTAGGTGTTGCGGGTATTTTTTTCCAAAATTGTTAAAATTGAACAAAAGGTTCAGTTGTCAAGTTGCCCCTTCTAGTTACAGTATCTTTTCATGCTACGCAACCACGAAATAAACTAGTCCCTTCACCCAATCCTTAACCCTAACCTGCTAACTACTTATATTTCGTGACATGAAAATGTAAACCCTTTTTGGGTGTTTGGAAAATGTGGTTAACACTGTTGTATATTTATTTATTGGGAAAATTAAATGAATATTAAATAGGACAAATAAATAATGAATAGAATAAAGGCTAATAAATATTATAAATAAATGAAATGAATCAAATGATCATGAATTTATGTTTTTACCTTTTGGCGCGAAAAATTCGCTGTACTTCGGAATTTACCGGAAACATTCGCACATGGTCGACAAACATGGCGGCCTCGAAGGAGCGAAGATTATTAAATTTTTTATAGAAAACTTGTATATTTATCCATGGAATCGAAAAATGCTCCTGATGTTATGTGGTTTGAATTTCTGTTCGACAAAACAGGCACTCTCTTGACAACTCATTTGTCGACACCAAACGCAGGTATAGATTTCTATGTAAATTTGCATATTTCATAAATTGAATTCAATTCTGAACTATCTACCTTTTTGTGGCCACATAATATTCATGTGTTATGCTATATCAAAATTATAAATACAAGCCAAACAACAATAACATTTACATTGCTATTTTAGCCCCATCAGCAGAGCAGCTTATCACACAATTTCTTGAAAAATCTGGATATATTGCTCCTTGGGTATGTTTAATAACAATAAATCCTTTTATTATGGGTTTTGCATTTACGACAACATTCAGCCAGACTGCATGGATTTTACTACTTCACTGGTGTTTGTTGCGGCTGATTGATGTCAATAAACTTGGCATCTGGTGTTAGTAATCTCTGAATAACACATTAACTCTGACCCACAACGTACAAACACCCATGAGTTAGTCAAATCCAGACTGCGAAGTATTGCAGTTTTTGGCAAGATCTTGGTGGTGACAAAAATTTAGGTGTGCAACCTCTTTAAAATTTATTAAAATGTGTGTTTAAGTTCATGTTAATGTTTAAAATTGCCAATGGGTTATTCTAGAAAACATCTATACCTAGATCTCCCACAGGGGAAGTCGGAAATTAACCCTCTACCCCCTGTGGATGTCCTAATACACTTATTTGTATGCAAAACAAATTTTTCTCTCCCACTCCGGTTTGCAGAAATTTCCTCCGTGGGGGGAGTGTGGAAATTTTCCAGAATGACTCAATTAAATGCCACATTTATAAGTTGTGTTGGAACAAGTATAGTTATGCCACTTATTGAAATGTGGACAAACATTTCTCGGGGTGTGGACAAAAAATTCTCATATGTTTTGGGTAAAAATTCTCAAAGTCAATATGTCCTCAAGATGATCAGGACCCAGTGTGGATGACTTGACCAACATTGCTATCTATTTCTGTTGCCCAGACAAAAAAGGAAACTGCTACAAAGACTGCTCAGAATGGACAAGAAAAACAAGATGTGGTTGAGACAAATGTTAAAAGAAAGGAACCATTGTTGTTACTTGCTTTACATGTAGCATCACATTTGGACTGGAACCTAGGTCATTTGGAGACAGGGTTAGTCTCATGCATGGATTGTGTCAATTGATGATTTTTTTGTCAGTGATGGTTTTTTAAATATTCAAATATTGTTTTATAGTCTTCCACTTTATGTGCAATATGTGCTGTTACAAGAACTTGTCAAAATGTTTTATAAAGAAACAGAGGTACTTTTTATTCGACATATATTTTATTAGCTTAATAGATATTGTATACATTCATGATATTAAAGCCTGTCGCACAAAAGGGTGCCTCCCAAAAGAAGCCAGTACATAGCTAAAAAACTCTCTGTAATGGCTAGAATGCCATTTCAGAGATGCCATCGGACACCACCTAAACTATAAAAAGATCTTCAGGAATGACATTTTTGCTTCTTAATATTTTTGTAGGATATACAACCATCACCAGAATTGCTTAAAGTTGAGAAGAATGCTATTTTCCCTTTGCTCTTGTATTATAGATGGTAAGTAGTTAGTATACTAATGATACGATTGATATAAATTAGATACTATTAGATATTACATTGATATACCCTGTAGTGCACTACACAATTGACCAGTTTCTTGTATTCCCAATTTTTTAGGATTGTTAGATCAATAGTTGATCAAACTTCATCTAAACTAACAGAGAACAACACAAATGAGTATGTCAAACAATACATAATTACATGCATAATATATGACCAGAATATTTAATAATCCTAATTATAATTTTGTTTATGACCAGAATATTTAATAATCTTATAAGGTTGCCATTTGCTGATGCCAAAAATGAGAAGAGTGAAATGGAAAAACTAATAGAAAAGGTACTGTAAATATTATGAAAAGGATATTCTATATGTAATTGCCTGAACTGGACTGATATACAGTCTCTGAATAATCTGGACTGTCATAAAATATATACCGTATTATAGAGATCGGGGGTTTTTTCAGGGATTTTTTAGGGCCGTTAAACGGCCCCAAAAACTCAATCTTGAATTGAGTTTTGAAACTCAATCTTCTCACCAAAGTTTCAGTGCAGTAAAAATGAAGTTGTTTGAATGAGTTAAATTTGTGACGTGTGGAAATTAGTTTTCAGTTGGGAACCGGATAATTAAGAAAAAATGGCTGGAATTCATCTCACAACACAAGAAAAACTATGCATTCACCATCTTTAACCAGTTTATAGTGTCCCTTAGTGCCCCTGCTTTAACACATTCTGTCTCAACTACATTTATTGAGTACAGGTGTGGGTCCGGGGGGGTGCAGCCACCCCAGCTGTTCAGCTAAACTCAATCTTCTCTGCAAAAACAGACCCAAGAGAAAATCCTGAAAAAAACCCTGGAGATGCATGTGATGTTCTACCATCAGGTTGTGTGACATTTCTTCCAGATTGAAGCAGAAGAGACAACAGCAATCAATGTTTTACAGCAAGGTACATCTTGGAAAGATGATCTCACATTCCCAGTGCTGCCACCTTTGAAAATTACATCAACAGAAAATGAAGAGGACAAAAGGTAGAGTTTTTTCACTTTTGTGAATCTATGTACTGTACGTTGTCAAGCCCATTGAGATGAAAACACAATACCAAGAAGAAGCTCAGAACTTTTGCTAGATGTTTGCTTGATTCTTCTTGAGCAAAGGGAAAACCCAACACTTGATCAGATGTGAAAGGTGGTTGTTCTAGGGACAACCTCAGTATGGGCCACCAGAAACAATGTCACATCCACCAAGCTTCATTGGATTTACTGGAATAGCTTCAGTCAATTGCTTGATTTGGTTGTTCTAAAAAAGATCTACACTCCACCCGCAGAGGAAATTTGTCCCATCCAGGGCCAGGGGAGAACAAAATTGTTTCTTATACTGTAATAGTACAGTAGGTGTATTAGGGCATCTGACAGGGATGGGGAGGGGTTAACTTCCAATTCCTTCTGTGGGGGAAGTATGGATGTTTTCTGGAATGAGAAAGTGAAGCCATAGATGGCCAAATGATCCAGCCATTGTCCTTTCACAGGTACAAGGAACAGATATGAGTGCATGCACCTTGCAAACTTTGCATTTTTTATTTTAGCGAAAAAGATGAAACTAAGATAGCTGGAGAAGGCACTGAGAAAGATGCTGAGTCCTCTGATAATACTATGGATACTTCAGAGACAAAGACGGTGTCGAGTCAGTCCATTATTGGTCAGACATGTTTTGATCTTGGCACACTTTTTTTTTACAAAGGAAACATTGAGAAAGCCAAAAGTCTGTTTGAAACATGTTCCAGTGTACAGGTAAATTGTACAGGGTTAGCCATATTTGATACGGTACAGAAAGTTCCACTTGCATTCGTTCCAGAGTTTTATCTAGCATAATTTATTGCCCCAGCTGGTAACTATATTGATTATTTAGTGTGCAAGCAATTCATTCTACACTGTGGACAAGAAACGACTATCTGGCTATTACACAGCATGTTGTTCACTCTTACATTGTCCTGTACGAGAAGATCTCGTCAGTTCTCTGTCTTTGATGAGTCAAATGGAACAATGCAAATATGATGGCTATAAGGTACAGTATACTGGTGGCACAGTGATAAGGGTATGCAATGGGCACAGAATATAAACCTTACAGAAGGCCGTGACCTCTTGGTTTTGCCTATGATTTTGCATAACCGTTGCAATGCTGTTGCCATGTTCCTGGCCAGTGCGCGTACAAGAGGTATTCACCCCCCTGAAAATGTCCAAAACACAGAACGTCTGGGGGGGGTGCCTCTCGTTAGCGCACTGACTGGGAGCAAAGCTCGTAATACTTGATGTCAATGATCCAGTAGGGGCAATTTAATCCTATTTGTGGAAAGCGAATAATGCAATAATACAATTTTTATCCAATCCAAGTATTTCATTTTCTACAAATTACAAGTGGTCTTAGTTTTAATGTTTTCCTGGCAGAATCTGGTGTCGTTACTAATCAAAGACAATGCAGACCAACAGGTACCATACACATTCAAACGATGCCTAGAAGCAGACGTTGTAAGATACATCCAGCAAAATTTTCGAGCAGATAAGACTCTACCTTGGAAAGTATGTTGCTGTAACACCACTGGAAATCTTTTGGCTGGCCGCTGTGTCGATCCTGAATTTTGGAAAATGTTGGAAAATTCAAGTGGGGAACAGTTTAAGTGTTTCATTGAAGTAAGTTTCGGGACTTTTGGCCACTGTAATTGGTATTGACTTATGCTCCCTTCCACAATCATATACTGTAGGGTCAGAAAGTCGCGCCCTGATCAGAAACCTGCGTTAGAAGGTCCCGTGCGCTGACATAGTGGGAAATTTCTCTAGGGTTTTTTTTAATTTTCACACTTGAGAATTCTTTCCTCAACTCGCAAATCCTGAGTGCGTACGAGATTGTTGATTACGATGTGTGGAAAAGAGCTTTATGACCGCGTACTGTAATTGCAGACCCGGGCCAATAAACAGCAAGACCCAACAATTGTATCTACACCCAAGATGTACCTACACCCAACAATTGAGCATTTAGGGCTGAACTTCACAAAAATGCATAACAATTGCCTTGCATCCCAGCCCTAGTTCACTTGGCCCGAAACTGCTTCTGCCGAAAATGAAAATACCCTTACCACCCGCAGAAAAGCATACCCTCAGGGCATACGTGGCGCCATGGACGTAATTAAAAGAGAGAGTAATGAGCTGATTCCAGGTATAGACTAAATTTTGATGAAGGCAAGAAGAACATAATCTATCACCACAGCTAGAAAGAGCATGTTAAAATTAGTAAAATTGTAAAGTTTCGCCGCGAAATGTTGTAAAATGCGGAAAATATACAGTAGCCCTATGAAATTTGCAAATTTTGTATTACGCGCGGGAAAATGCACCACTTTCGGCCTAGCTGTGGTGATGGATTTTGTTCTTCTTGCCTAGATCAAAATTTAGTGTATTATTGCTCGAATCATCCATTACAAGTTGTGTATTTAACTATTTTTACTACACAGCATTTCGTGGATTCCCTTGCACTTGTGAGTGACAGGCAAAGATCCGAAAAGAATGGATTAATTTTATCACAACTGGAATCCGCTATAGCGTAAGTATATTAAAAAACTGTCTAGATCAATAATATTAAGTATATACACTTCTGTATTCCGTAGCTGCGTGGGAAACTAACTTCCATCTTTTGGCGAACAATATGAACAGGAGTAGCCTCATCTGCAGGAATCTTATGGTTTGTCATATGGTTTGCCATGATGGGGAGATTGCAGACAAAAAATTGACTTCCCAGCTCGAAATGTGCAATACAACGTATTCTTCTTATGTTTTTATTTTTTTTCATATTTAGATCTTTGCTGGTTGGACAATTGGCAGAAGAGAGATTGGAAATTTTAGTGAAATCCAACATTGGAAGATATCTTGATATCAACAATGTAAGAAACATGAATTAGAAATAAGCTAACTTCACTTCTACATTACTGGATAGTTCTAAGCTGGATGCATAATTAGCCCATTGTATAAAGTTATGACAAGACAGGATTTAGGCAGTTGCGATATTGAAAAAATATCGATATCGAAAAAAAATATCGATAATATCGACTATATCGAATTATGCAAATGAGAAAACGTAATTTAGTCAACTTGCATGTATACGCATCACAAACAGTTAAAAAGAAGTGCATGAAAGCAGTCATGGTATGTCTCAAAGATTTATTAACGACGGTTTATCCTTCATCTCCAACTCAGCTTTTAATTTCAATTGCACACGCACTTGTAACATAATTCGCAATTGCCGCCATACACACGTTGTCTAAACTTCACCGATGAAAACAATAATTGCTGAATAATCAGAGATTAAGTTGTTTAGTTACAACTTTCGATATTTTCGATATGCGAAAAATTGAATATCGAATATCGATATTTTTGAAATATCGATATTTATCGAAAATATCGATATATCGCAACTGCCTAACAGGATTTTGGTGGAAATAATGGGGGAGGTGGAAGAAATGTATCAGTGTATTAATGAATTATGACTGTATGACTCATCCAATTTTGCCCTTCATTACATTGTTACAAAGTTTCTTTCAAAACATTGCATTGAAAGGGTATTTGACACAGAGATGAATAGCTATCACTGTTTCAATTTTACAGAAAAACTTTCTTACGAAGTGTAGACCCTAAGCAACCAAAAATGTCAAATTTTCACTTTGATCTATCATTGAAACTTTCTTAAGGGGAGGTGCATGACTTTTCAGGAGAGGTGCAAAAATTCTCAGGGGAGGTGCAAAACGATCTCTGGGGAGGTGCGCATCTCCTCACACCTCCCCTCAAAGTCCGGCCATGATTTATGAAAAATAACTTAATTCGCTGGCGAAGGTAAGTAGTCTCCGATCGCGAGTCTCTAGTATGTACACTTTATGTTTATGAAATACTTATTCATCTTTCACAGTTAAAGAAAGCTCTTGAAAAGCATGAACAAGACTTGCAAAACGCCAGCTGTACGTTTTCGCCCATCAGCCTACAACCTCACAAAGGTAGGATTTTATTAGCAGATAATAATTCCCCGGTAGTTTTCCTAATGCTCCAGTTCAGTGGACATGGAGGGCATGTCAACAAAAGATTAATCTCATTAGAAATTCTTTATTTCACCTCCATCTGCATTTATGTTTAAGTCTTGTGAGATTGCTTGAAACCCAACTAATTTACTCTTAATCATCCAACATCCTTTGTATTGCAACTGCCACAAACTTTAGTGAAATCATTATTTAATAAGTACAATCCGCGTTTTATCCGTACGTCTGCTTACGCGATACCGTAAATCCGCAGTTCCGTATCCGCATTTTAACCCAACGCTATTGACGCTACGGGCGGCGTTTTGCGTCTGCATTCTAAAGATTGTTTTTCCCATTGATAAATTGTAAATAATTGGACACGATCTGATAAAAGGCGGCGATGATATATTAGTGTTGCCATCTGTATTTACTTCTGGAAAAGGGATAAGGTGGTGCAGGAAAACGGCATTTATCTGTTAATTTAATTGCCGTGTTTGACAAATTTTAATTTCGCTATAAGCCAATATCCGTTAGTGTTTAGCTAAATTTACGGTAACAGACAATTTGTATTGTGGAACGACGCCAAACAATATCCGTTGTATATTGCAACATGTCTGTGAAGGGCAAGATGTGATTAAAACCCCATTCAAACGTTGAGCGTTGATGACGTTTCAAACTTTAGATCAACAACGTAAATGTTTAATAAGTGTTTCAACTACGTTTTATAAATAGAAGTGGTTATTCGTACTGGAGTATGGCACCCGATTCTTACATTTCGTAAATTAGTAATATAAAGTGGTTTTTTGCAACAGCTTTTAGCGAGCTTGCCGCTAGCGTATTCGGCAAAGGCGTTGCGTGCGTGCGAAGTGAAACGAGGTCGTGTCCGGGTTTAGTTTTAGTCGTTGGTTTTCTGTTTGACTTTTTTTTCTCGACTTTTTAGACTTTCAAATAGTTTAATAGACCTTTATTGGTTAGGGTTAGATAAGAGTTTGGGGTTGGGGTCAGGTTTATCTTAAATATTACGACTGCAGTACGAATAGCAAATCAAACTCGGCGTACTGTTCCAGTACGAATAGAACGTTTATAAATTTACGTGATAGTAACTAAGGGTCTGTTTATATGGTCCCTCTTACCCAGGATTCAATGAAGTGTGACGTGTTTTGAGCAATTGAAATAATTCACACTTCATAATCTAACAAAATTGGTTGTTACAAATTGTATGAAATTCCATGTTTTACACAAAAAAACAAATGTTGTTGAATGCTATTCATCGTCTTCTTCCACTACATAACTTCTAGCGCGTTCTTAATTTCGTTTAAGGCTGTTTAGGGCTGAAACACGTATTTCAATTGCTCAAAATACGTCACACTTCATTGAATCCCGCTTAAGCGGGACCATATAAACAGCCCCTAAGGGACGGACCATTAGATATTTGAGAGGGGGGGGGGTTGGGCAAATACCAAAAAAAAATTCGCGCACAGAAAAAATCCAGGAAAAAAATTTGTGCACAACAAACCTATTGAAAAAAAAAATCGAGCAAGAACTAGGGCTGATTTTTAAAATCGTAATGCAATTATTTTAAAACATTAAAATGGTGTTTTTACGACAATCGAAAAAATTTATGCTGAAAAAAAAATGATGAAAAAAAATTCGTGCACAGAAAAATTCCCCTCAAATATCTAATGGTCCGTCCCTAAGGTCACGTGTCTGCCAACTGTCGTGCGCTCGCATCATCGTTCGATCCAGGCTCGCGTAGTTCCAGCCGGAGTTAAGCCTGCTACTGAAAGCCAAGAGTGGAATATCGTTGTCAAAGTATTTCTGTTTAAGCTGGTGTATGCTAACACCACTCGAGTGTACACGTCAGCAGACCACGCCATTTTTATCTCATGTTTACCGCAACCTCGTTCCCAGAGGAGAGACCCTGGGAACGAGGTTGCGTTGTTGAATTTAGACTCAGACCTGGATTTGATTTTTCGTTATACGTCTATCCCAGGCCTGAGTCTAAATCTCTATAACTCAGGCTAAGATTTGACTACACAGCTAAAACGATCTGGTTGTTGCAATATTGATGAAAACAGGATTGAACAATGTTGTGCGGCCCACATTGTTCACAGTTGTCAAAAATATTGAACAATATTGTTACACCCGATTCAGGCTCAATAATATTGTTCGATATTGTTGACAAGTGTGAAGCTGCACAACATTGTTCAATCCTGTTAAACAGCAGGCTCATAATTTTTACGCGTGTACGAATATAATAATGGATCTAGACACGTCATGTTAGGTGCATTGGGACGACACAGAGTCTTTAATTAATGGATGATCTTGTACTTGCTGTGGGAGTCAACAGCGCAATATATTAGGCCTATACTAAATGTTTTTGCAATCCCATGCAGTGCACCATCAAATTTTAACTCAAAATGTCATTGAAAGACATATACTGATATTAGATCAGTGCTCACACACTTTGATCTTCGCTTTGATCAAAGCATCATTGAGATATTTTAAATACTGTTTCTTTAGGAACTGTCTCGCGCAAGTCTCATAACATATGTAATGACCCGATGATAAAGACATCGAATTCTGAAACTGTTTTTATATCAAAATGCTAAATTTTAAGCCTGCGTGAACCAGTCTTCAGTTGCGCGCAGCAACAATTCTTTCGTATAATCTATTATCATTAAATCATCTAAAATCGATCAGATCACTTTAATCTTTATAGTGGTTGCGCTTTTTGCCGGCCCAGTTTTATCTCGTTTCCCACAAGGTGACCTTCATGTGGGCCTAACCCTTGATCGCCTTGTTAATTCTCAATACATTCTAGTAAAAATCAATAAAGTGCAACAGTGTGAATAATCCCGACAAAATCTGTCAACTTTCCCATTATCGCATCAATCCCACACATGATTCCAGTTTGCAACGCATGCAGCCTTAATCTGAAAGTGCCGAAAGTTTGAAAATCACCCCTTTAAGCTTTTTTTACCCTTCGATACACGCTTCGACCCATGTATCTATCACTTACAGCTCAAATGACAGACTTGCTCTCCAATTTCGACCGTTACTATAAAGTTTGCGAGTTGAGAGTTGAGACTTTTAGTGATGAAGTCATGAACAGAACCGAGCGAACATGGACGACAAAGTCAAAAACTTCTAAGCTAAGGCATGGTTTCTATCTAATCTGGTCTTGTCTTTTGCAAAATCATGTCGACATATCATTACACATGCTTGCATGCGATCGGTATATTAGTACGGCAGTACATAAACATTTATCTGGACAGCTTTATACCACTCGAAAATGTCGTAATTGCGCCCTTCACATTTTCGTATATCACCGGTTGCCCAGCCAGACTGAGTTACTTCTCATAGAGTTTGCGGATTTAGAAGATGCAAGCGTAATCAACATTTTGGGTGGATTGTTTTAAGGTCTTTTAGTGCTACAGTTATTCAACAACGATTTCCGTTTATATATCTAGATTATAAATGTTTTTATTATGCTAATAAAAATACCCAGTATCAGCATGCAAACATGTGAGCCATTATTGAATCAATATGTTTTTGTCTTCAATATGTTTTGAAGACTTGAGATCAATGAAAAAAAAGGCCTTTGGCCTTATGTACGTCATATTCCTTGCGCCTCGCCTCGTGCACGCAATTTATTCCAAAATAGCACGTAGAAACACAGAATTGCGACGCATTTATAAATTGCGCGTGTCCGGTTAGCCTTTGCACCTTTGCGTTTTCAAGTGCGCAATATGTCTATTCAAGTTTTCGCATTGAAATCTGGAAAAAGTAAAATCTGGAATTAGGGATCAGCGTAACTCTGCGACTGGGATGGATTCGATGCCGCAATGTGCAGCTCTATGTGATTGTATATCATTTCGGGCGTATTCCGGTTTCCTCCTGTATATACTAACAGTGGACTATTATAAATTTATATGTTTGGCCCTTGCTGAAACCCTATATACTAAGAACTGTTTATAGAACCGACAGCGAGATCCTGTAGAAACATAGTTTAGTTTGTTGACATAACTCGAAGAAGAAGTACAGTGATTTGTCTTGTTGGCACATATTCAAAATCGTTATGACCTACCCTAATCTGTGGCGAACCAAATTTTATTCAATGTCCCTTTGTTAGTGATTTCCTACAATAATAATCTTTATTCATCAAAATACCAATACAGGCACATATGAAATTACATACAATAAAAGATACAAAGTGTATCTTTATAATAACTATATAAAATATAAGATTATAAAGAATGCATTTACATTTTTTTATATTATGAATGAAAATATGCATGATTACGTAATGCACTGATTAGCATATAATAGAAGAATATCATGAAAAGAAAATATTTTGCTACTATTTTCATGATAGATTTATCATGTATATTTATAATATATAAGAATAAATTATTTGTATCAAATAAGCGGAAAGAACTATATTGATACCATATAAATCGTTTAAAAACTATATTTCGTGTTTCTGAAATTTTTTTTTTTTTTTTTTATTTAAAATTTATTATTTGATGTTTACCCCAAAAGCAAACTGCTTATCGAGGGGGCTTACATCTATACATATATAACATTTTAACACACAACACACAAAAGGTACACACACCCAGACAAAATAAGATATTAATATAGAAATATTAAACATCAAAGGCGGATGCGGCAAAACGACATGTGTTTAAAATAAATTGTTGAACTATTGAAAACAATACACAATTTTCTTCATAACTCAAAACTTCAGATCCGTTTAAAACACAGTTTAACTTTACAGTGTCGCTGCACCGCAACCACGATTGACCAAAAAGCTGAGCAGCAGAGGTAAGCAAAGTCGCACGCTGAGTAGCATAACGGGGACATTCAAGTAGATAATGTTTTACAGTTTCTGTTCCTTGTTTACATGCACAAATAGGAGAAACTGCACAATTAATAAAAAATAAATAATCATTAAGAGCACAACAACCTAAACGTAACCTAGCATGTAAAATAGAAGCTCGTCTGCTTAGTGAGGAATCAAAGAAACGGTTGTACTTTAAAGGATGCAATAAATTATTTAATGTATGTTTAAAGACAAATAATGAATCTAACTGTCTTATATCTAAAGACAGGTTATTCCATAAATTTATAACTGAAGGAAAGAAAGATGTTTTAAACATTTCCGTTCTACACTGAAAATTTGAAAATTCAGTAGCTGACCTCAAACAAAAATTCGATCTCTCACCTACTCTCAATGGCACCAACTCACTAATATATGCTGGAGTCATTCTATTTACAGACTTATAGAAGAATATTATTTTATGAATTTTTCTTCTAGTTTTCAGCTTTACCCAGGCTAGTTCCTCACGTAATTTCCGAGCACTGGTGCCTTTAATTGCACCTGTAATAATTTTAGCAGCATCGTATTGAACGCTTTCGAGTAAATCACTATTTCCTGATGTACAATTATCCCAAACAATATCAGCATATTCCATTTGTGGCCGTATCAAACTTGTATACAAACATCTAAGCGTTGACCTATCTAGATGAAATTTGAATGATTTCATCACATTTAATCGTTTAGAGGCTTTTTCATAAATTTCCAACACATGCTTATTCCAAGACATATTGTTTTGAAATGTAAGACCCAGGTGGGTATGAGAACTAACTTCTTCAATATCCACACCTCTCAATGTAAGTTCCGGATGATCTATTTTGTCTCTTTTCAATGAAAATAACATGGATCTAGTTTTTGAGGGGTTCATAGTAACCAACCACTTATCTGACCACTCAGAAATCTTAGCTAAATCGTTATTAAGATTTTCAGCTGATTCAACAGGATCATCTACGACCTCAAATAGCGTGGTAATGTTTTGGTTGGAGCATGTGAATAAGTAGTATGTAATAGATATTATAGTAGTAATATGTTTTGATATTCAGGTTTAATAAATACTTCTTCGCAATTCCGCTCTATCGTGGCGGTCAGAAAACCAAAAAATTGTCACAGAAAATTTGTTGTACGCGTACACACGTGCCATTGACAAACGACGGGTTCAGATTTGACTACCACTACCATTACCTTAATTTTTTTTATTTATGTATTTTCCCCTATGTACAGCTTTGTTAATATTTACAAATATTTTGTAATAATATTGGGCTAGGGACCTACTAGAAACCCTAACAGGCTTTTTAATTTAGGCCTTTAGTTACAGTTCATTGTTATCTATTAATTAATATATTTACAGTAAAATCAGATCTTATCTTAGAGTGTATTATTTACAAAAGGAAGGAAAGAACTATAAAGCAAAATAATTACAGTACAAATATGCGCAGTAACTGCAAGAGCGTGAGGAAATCGTCGCATGTTTTTGTTTTGGGACCGTATACCAAAGCGATTTATGGTCGTCGGGAGAAGTCTAATCTGAACAGGTCTAAACAGCCCGTCGCGACCGCTACCAATGGAGCCGTCAAAGGTAGCGGTAGTGGAAGTTGAATCTGAACCTGTCTAAAGAAGACTTGGCATAGAATTAGTCCGACCTCCCACACTTCGAATTGTACAATACATTACTGATAGATTGATTGATCGGCACCTTATATATGTTGATTTTGGGCAAAATAAAAACAACAAACGCCCACGAAAACCATGGGGTGACACTAATCCTCTATAATCTCCACCACAACTGGATACCTGGAAAAAATCCCCAGAAATGTGAAAAATCGTCTTTAAAATAAGGCGCTTTCATCATGAAGTTGAATATGGGCAGTTGAGATAAATTTTCGTGTGAATGGTAATCGCTGTCAGAATAGAATTCTCTTAAAATTCTCTAGAATAAAATTCTGTTGTACGTCTTTTTCACTCGTTCACACTCAAACAATCGATTCGCAATCACTCACAGTACTATAAGTAATATTTCACGTCCGACTATGAGGACTGGACTAGATTTCAAGTCCGCGAAATTTGATCAATATGCGAGAGTTTTAAATGACATCTTATACGAATATATCACTGGATTAATATACTTCACCATGATGTATCCAGTATTATCATGTGAGCAAAGTAAAGCAGTATGGTTGGCTAATTTGCTCATGAATTATCAATGAGTTTGAGATCCTTCAATAACGATCTCTCACATCTAACCGACATTGGTAGCCAAGTATTCCTTTGATGTTCTAACAAATTTTGATCAATGGACCATTCCCCATGATTAACCAAAATTTTGAACTCAACAAGCCTAGACAAAAATTTCATCACAGCTTGAAAGAGCATCACAAAATTAGTAATATTCCAAAGTATTGTTGCAAAATGTTGTAAAATGCGGATAATATAGCCTTGCGAAATTTGCAATTTTCAGTCATTTTAGATTACAAACGGGAAATGGTTACCACTTCTGTGCGTAATACAAAATGACTGAAAATTACAAACTTCGCAAGGCTATATTATCCGCATTTTACAACTTTTTGCAACGAAACTTTGGAATATTACTAATCAGTTTTGTGAAGCTCTTTCAAGCTGTGATGAAATTTTTGTTTAGGCTGGTTAAGATCAAAATTTTGGAAAAGTGGTAACCATTTCCCGTTTGTAATCTAAAATGACTGAAAATTGCAAATTTCGCAAGGCTATATTATCCGCATTTTACAACATTCGGCAACGAAACTTTGGAATATTACCAATTTTGTGATGCTCTTTCATACTATGATAGAATTTTGTCTAGACTTGTTGAGATCAAAATTTTGGTTAATTGGGGAATGGTCCAATATTTGTATTCTATATACCAGTATTGGTATAACTCTCTTTGAATAAAGTTTGTTTATAGTATCTTACTGTTCTAGCTAAAGCTGCGTTTACACACAACGATTAATCGGGCCGCGATTTCAGGTTTTGCCGAATGTTAAAGACGAATGTTTTATCGTTGAATGTTTATGACGAATGTTGTATCCAATTAATCCCAGAGCCAGAGGAAGGTCAATGCATGACGCATATTATGCCCAAAAACTTCCTCACACACGAGCCCCGAAAAGGCGTATTATGAAATATACTTATCTATTCCTTCTCAGGAAATTAGAACTGAGTTAGGATCGGAAATTGGCTGCAATTCTGCAAAGTCCTTCCCAATTGTTCTTGTAAAAACAGTAAAATGCTTATTTAATTAAATATAAAGGAACACCTTCGGGAATAAAGCCTAAAGGCAATATATTAAATATTCGTCAGATGACTTGTGTCATATTAGAAAGATTAACTGCGAACATAGTCTTTCTGACGCTCAATTTATCCACCATTTTTCGGGTACCGCCTCCAGCAAGCGTGAGATGTAAGCACCTCGCGAAATGCGACTTTTTATAACTATAGTTGTATGATGGTAAATTCGCTTTTCTTGTTGTTTTAATTGTCTAAATCATTTGTGATTTGACGATGAATGACAGTAAAAATGCCGGATAGTGATGCTAATGTCCTTACTCCTCTTTAATTTGTCTGTCATTGCATTTATATCGAAAACAACTCCTGATTATTTAAAGAACGACACGTTTGGTATATTTGTTAGAGCTTATAAATAAAATCCGCACTCAGATCAGCAAACCTTGTATTATTGCAATGCATTAAATAGTGCTGTTCGCTTCCGACCTCATCTAAATCGTCATGTTAATTCTTTTATCTTATCATTCTTCTGGAACATTGAAAATCAAAATTTATTTTAATATTTTCGGAATCGTCTTAACTTGCTTTGATTCCCACCTTAAAATATTATCTGTATACATATGTCTGTATATAAGAGTGCTTAGGAAATAGCTAAATTAAGCTAAACTAACTATATTTATACGCGGTAGGGTAGCTCTCTATCAGTTCTTAACTATTCTCCCTAGAAGTCTCACATGGATTGACCCCTGCACCGCCAACCACAAACCACTGCGATAAGCTAGCCTGGTGATAGTTAAGAGACAAAATTAATGTCTGGCTTTGGTTTAAACGTCAATACACTTTTCACCAATTTTGGATATTTTTTACTTTTGCACATTTTAGTACATTTTATCTTGAGGGCTGCTTATTTTTCAATGCACAGATAAAATAATTGTCATAGATAGGTTTTCCCGATACGCAATCTACTTTCTGTTATGTTTTTCCACATTGATTTCATTTGATCAAAGTCTTCATCAACTTTGTCTTTGGGAATCTTTGAGAGCTGTATATTTTAGTGTACAAAGGAGTATTTGCCCTTATGCACAAACAGCATAATTGTACAGTAAAAGATAAAGGTTCTCCTGATAATTACTTATTCTGAGTTATTTGGCTTTCGACGTTGATTTAATCTATGTTTTTTGGCCTGGAGTCCTGTGTTATAGCTTTAATCGTTCAAAAATGTTCTCCCTGGTGATCCAGTAAGAGCCAAGAGTTATTAATGCCCCAGTTACACGATACTGGATTCGCATCGGAGCGAGTCGAGCGACATCAACTAAGACGCTTTTCGGCCTTTTACAATTCTGTTATATTATAATATTGAGTGCTTATCTTCCCTTGAAACTGTAAAATTTGATATTGCTCCGATCATCCGATGCGAATCCTGTATCGTGTAACTGGGGCCTAAGAGATATTTTTCAAGCTTGCCCGATGTGGAAATACACTCGAAGTAACATCACAAACAAGATATTATAAGGTTGGTTTAGTTTAGGTCTGTTGCACTAAATATCCCCATCGGTAAATTGTAAACTGCAGTCAGCATGAATATCAAGTTACTCAATGCTCCAAATTGCTTGCCATTCAATGCGAATTTTGTTAATAGCCCAACGCGGTGAGTATATACGTGGGCGCAGAATCGGTTCGCATATTTTGTGGTTTTTGAATTGATTTGAATGTTTTCTTGACGTGCGTCACCTTGTAATTAGTTCTGTCGTCAAGAATAGCGTAATCGTGACCTTTTAGCAGACACCTTGCAACAAAGAGTTTGTTCACAGGTAATTGGCATTAACTGCGCATTAAAATGATACACTTTAGAGTTCTAGTTCACATCATGTCCGAATTTCAAACCATTTCTATGATTGGTCAATCGATACCTCTCCGCGCGCGCTCTATAAATAGCGCGCATTAAATATACAGTGCGCTTTTGTTCGGGAGCATACTAGCCGAACTTGATATCGAAATTTGTTTGCAAACACACTGACAGTCATGGAGCGTAGCGGTATGGACTGTCTTGTACTGTTGTACTTCTATTTCGTAATATTGAATCCACTATTAGCGGCGTCCAGTAGGCCGCCAAATATTATACTCATAGTCGCCGACGATCTTGGTTTTAATGATGTAGGTTTTCATGGTTCGGAGATATTTACTCCGAATTTAGATAAGCTAGCGAAAACCGGTGTTACTCTTGAGAATTATTACGTATCGCCTTCATGTACTCCATCTCGAAGTCAGCTTCTAACAGGGCGTTACGGAATTCACACTGGGCAAATTCGCAACATTCAATCTATGCAGCAGTCTTGTTTACGCTTAGATGAAGTAACTGTTGCTGAGAAACTAAAAGCTAGGAACTACAGGACACACATGGTCGGCAAGTGGCATCTAGGACACTGTATGACAGAGTGTACCCCCACTCATCGGGGTTTTGATTCGTTCTTTGGAATTTTACTCGGCTCCGGAGATCATTTTCGCTACTATAAAAGACAGAGAGTGAAGGGTGTGACTCACCTTGGCTACGACTTTTGGCAGAATAATACCGTATCCCGTGCTGAGGGACATACTAGGATTTACTCGACGACTACGTACCGTAACCAAGCGTTGAGGATAATTTCAACTCACGATCCTAAACATCCATTATTCTTGTATCTATCCTTCCAAGCACCTCATAGTCCCTTGCAAGTACCTCGTGAATGGTTGAAACAGAATAGTGGTATCACTAATTGGAAACGGCGATACATTGCTGGCATGGTGACCGCGGTCGATTCAGCTGTTGGGGTGCTGGTGAAGAGCCTGAAATCACGTGGTTTATGGGAAAATACGGTGTTGGTCTTTACCACGGACAACGGAGGTCAGATTATGAACGGGGCTAGTAATTGGCCACTCAGGGGTGGGAAAGGTTCATTTTGGGAGGGTGGTGTTAGGGGAGTAGGGTTTGTGAATAGCCGCCTCATAAAACGCCCCGGACGCAAGAGTCACAGACTTATGCATGTCAGTGATTGGTTTCCAACCTTTGTTCATCTCAGTCAGGGAGATTTGAACGGTACTAAGCCTTTGGATGGAGTTAATCAGTGGGACACCATTAGTAGAAATGCACCTTCCCCACGTAAAGACGTTTTAATTGGTATATCACATGCTATTGATAGAAGTCTAGACAGACGGCGAATAAGCGCAGAATGTCGGCGGTATATACCTAAAGCACTTCGAGCATGTACCAGAAAGAAATTGTTTAAATTTCCCAAGAAATGTGCGAAGAAAGAAGACGACATCTGTTTGACGTACAAGGGGTCGAAATGGTGTCAGCGCGCCGCCATTCGACGTGGAAAATGGAAACTACTGGTCGGGATACAAAAACCTGGCAACTGGGTTCGTGGTTTGGGCGTGAAACCGAATTGTTCATCTCGATACGAGAACGGAAAACGTTTGCAATTATTTAACATTCGTTCCGACCCACGCGAGACCGATGATTTATCACAGAAGTACCCCAAGAAAGTTGCACAATTAATGGGTAAACTTGAAAATTACAGAAGACATTCTGTACCAGAGTGGAGGTCCCCGATTGATATTATGGGTTCTCCCAAGTACAATGGGGGTGTATGGGGACCTTGGATGACGGCCGCTTAGACTATGCAAGCCGATTTACACCACACAACTTTTGCTTCAAACTGTCGCATGCAACCTCCTTACAACTTGAGTTGTACTGTGTAAATCAAGCACACAACTCGCCTACGATAATGTAGATTAGTATAGATGAGTTGTGTGCTTGATCACAGTACGACTCAAGTTGTAATCAGTTGCATACGACAGTTTTAGGTAAAAGTTGTGTAGTGTAATGTTTACTGAGGGTCTGAATGGGGTTAACTGACTACTGACATTTGCCTGAATTTTTGACTGACAACTGACAAAATATCCTAACTGACTACTGAGAAATGATGAAAAAAAATTATAAGTCAACATTTTGCAGTAACTGACTACTGACAGCTTGCAATATATCGCACTGACAACTGACAATTGGCTTAAATTTTAGCTGACAACTGACACCCAAAGACCCCCATTAAGACCCTCTTTACTGTTGAGTGGTTTGACCAGTGAGCTCCATATATAGCCTATATCTGGAGTGAGAACTTACGTCCAAAAAATGGGTTACATTTTCATGTCACGCAGTCACGAAATATAAGTGCGGGTTAGGGGGATAGAGATTGGATTAGGTTTCGTGATTGCGTGACATGAAAAGATGGCGGAAATTGACGTCCAGTGCCAGTCCCTTGCTATTGTTTTTGTCTGCGCGATTAACACAAGGTACCGAAATTTAGTGTTTTGACTTCGATTTAAAGAGCGAAAATATGATTTTGTGAACTGATAACTTGACTAGCGTCACGATCCGTCAGAAAAAAACTAGAATTAGCTGGGGCCAAATGATATTAAAACTGTTTACTACCTTCATACTAGAGCTATTGGACGTCAATGGCCGCCATCTTGGCTCCACTTTTCTCATAGTCCGAATGACTGAAGTTCTCACTCCAGGTATATATATATATATATAGACACAGAATAAAGACATACAGAAGTGTAACTTCCATTACAAAACCGTAAGGCGCTTTTTTACCGAAATAGCTGGCGGCCATGTTTCTTAGCAAGTGCTCTAAAGAGGGGCATTCACCCCCCTGGAATATTAAATTTTCAACATGTTTTCAGGGGGGTGACTGCCTCTCTTTAGGGCACTTGCTAGGAACATGGCGGACTGAAAAAATCCCTTACGCGAAATTAACCTGAAGTGAGATCTCTGTATGTACTTCCTCTGTGATATAGAGTTCACTGGATTTGACTATTTTTAGACACACACACAGAAGTCCGATTCAGCCAAAAAGCGTAACCGCCGCCACGTCGTCAAAATGCACTCCCCATGTTTCCAGCAAGTGCGCTTACGAGAGGCATTCACCCCCCTGAATATCCGCCACTTTGAATATTTTCAGGGGGTGAATGCCTCTGGCTAGGAACATGGCGACAGCATTGCAACGGTTACGCGAAAATCATATGCAAAACCAAGAACTCGGACTTTTGTGTGTCCCTATTCGGTGGTTTGGATGATGCATTGATTGATTGCTCCATTATTCCAAAAACGCATCGACATTGTATAGACATGAACAGAAAGACTGAAGGCCATATCTTGATTATGTTTAGATTTATTTAGATTAGGAATATATGATGTTAGATATTCAAGAATATTAGTGTTTTTTTCGAGATTTGTTGATATTTTTACATGTATAGATGAACATTTTGATAAATGTATAGATGAATTTTTTCTGTGTTGGTATAATGTACTCATGTGAATATGATGCTTGTGATGTTACTCTGAGTGTAAATCCACACTGGGCAAGCTTGAAAAATATGTCTGGCCACGGCCAATGCTCTGCCAGCTGAGCCACGCGGTCAGATCCGTTCGCGTATGTGATATTTTGGAACTGAGTATAGATATCGAAGGAACTAGACTCAGTTCCGAAATATCACATACTCGAACCATATCGAACCGTCCTGACCGCGTAGCTCCGTTGGCAGAGCATTGGGCTAGTATTCCAAAGGTCGTAGGTTCGATTCCCAATGTTGGGGTAGTTCAAATTTTAATGAAAGTTGATGAGAGTTTTTGCTACGTGCGCGGTAATATCCTGTCAACTGTCGTCGGTGTAAGGTCGCGAGGTGCAAGAGTTAAGAAAGTTCCACAAATAATTATTAAGGTATATACAAGGTCGCGATTTAATCAAGAACTTGAACAGTTTATCGAATTAAAAAATTTTAAGGCATTTAGATCGATGGAACCTGTCAACCGTCAGCCGGAAGTACATTCCATAACTTAGCCGCACTGTATTTGAACTGGGTTTTTTTAAGAAATTCTCTTTGGCAACGAAAGTGACAGATTTCTATTGTTATTTCTGAGATTATATGCATTATACGTTTATGTTCTTAATCTTAATGTGATATTTTATTTTCTCTTTTTCAACATCAAGATGCTCGCATTGATGTTCAAGTTCAAGTTAGCCAATTGGAGCACGACTTACAAATTACGTCATGTCCGTCCCAGATCCCCAACATACTCATGCGACTACACAGCCGAGATCCCGATCCTCATAAGAATCATGCCAAGGTGACTTCATATCTTGTTTCTGTTTGTTTGGACTTCATATCTTGTGTGTGTGTGTGTTTGTTTGTTTGTTTGTTTGTTTGTTTGTTTGTTTGTTTGTTTGTTTGTTTGTTTGTTTGTTTGTTTGTTTGTTTGTTTGTTTGTTTTACTGTGACTGTATGTGGATGGTAGGCGGTTGGTGCCTGAAGTATAAAACGATTAAAAATATTTCATGATTGAGTGAAGGTCCTTCCTTAGGAGATCTGATCTTCCTTGGGGGGGGGGGGGGGCTACACGGTACAACCCCATGTCGGGGATCCTAGTTCCCCTTCGTCGAGGAATATTAGCATTTTATTGGGGAAGAAAGTATGTTTTATAACCAACGTTGTATTCAAACTATCCTCAAAATGGAGGAAATACGTTTCAGAGTGTCGTGATTCAAACATTTTCTCAGAGAGAATGCCCCCAAGATTGAACAGACAAAACAAAACAATAGTTTTATTGCCTGTAAGAACTTAGCCCCCTGTCGGGGACCTTATCCCTCTTAATCCCTCGCGCCACCGATTGTTGGTTGGTGGTCATAAGTATATTATATGCTTACCTATATTTATACGTACGTAGCTTACGTTACTTATCCTTACAATCATTATATTTCCTTCCTAATCTATTTATCCTAACCCACCCTGTGAACTTTCCTTCTGGGAGGCAACAGGAGTACCCGTAAAACCAACCAGCGATTTGACATGAACTAGTTTATGCTTACCTTGGAAAACGCTTGTGGAAAGAAGAAAGGAGCAGCAACTAAAATATGTATCCAAAGCTCTCGCATGCGAATGTCCTGAGAACATTTCAGATATGTTTTTAAATAATGTTTAAAAAATGTCTAATTCTGAGCGATACGAGTTAAGAAGAAATAACGACACTCTGGTGTTGTCGAAGCACAAAATCAATTCAACGAAAAGGACTTTCGGATATGCTGCTGCCAAAGTATAGAATCAAAGTTTATAATAAGTAAAGTTTTATCTCATTTGATGTGTGAAGGGGAAATATAAGGGATTTGGGGGGAGAAATTGCTGGTATTTTCTATAAAATGTTTTAATGTTATTGGAGGGAATACGTATACCCTAGGAACAAGGTTGTTTGACTGTATTTTAACTTATTATGCTTGAGTAGTTACCATGCAAAAAGATCTTGTAAATAAATAAAACAAAAAAAACCTACATTTAAACTATTTATCTTTTCCACAATAATGATGGTACCATGATATTGCGGCTGACTTTATATTGTTTCATGCTTTTTAGGGCTACGAAAGTGCTCTCTATGGATCATATATTCAAGATTTAAAAGATGACATTCAGCAAGATCTCTTGCATGTTCTGTTCAGCAAGGCTAATCAGTGTTCGCAGAGAAAGGTAGATGTTTTTTGTACATGGTCAAAATAATTAAAACACCTTGAAGCCGGTTGTATGAAACCCATTCAGTAGGACTTCATATTGATCTATTTGTTTAAAGGGAATGGCAATAAAAATTACGTTTGTCCCGTTTGATAGAACTTTAGAAATTATATGTTAAACTCCTTTACTGATTTTTCATATATTGCTTTGTTCTTGAAATATTTTGTCTGAAAACAACCAGTCCGCCATCTTGGATTAATTTTCTACCTCATTAACGGTAGGTTTTATGACGTCAAAAACAGGGTTAGCCATATAAAAATACTCCCGGGTGACCAAATAACAATTAGTAGTCTTCACTCAAATTGTTATATTTGAAATGGCGACCGAAGTATAATTTTGGGTAAAGTATTTGCGTGACCCTACTCAATGTGTATTATGTCCATAATAATCCAAGATGGCCGACAGTTCATGCATTGATTTATGGTCGATTTTATTTTTGGGCGAAATATTTCAAGAACTAAGCAACATTTGAAGAAGCTGTAAAAACGTTTTCCATATAATTTTAAAAGTTTTCCACCTATGAGACGATCTAAATTTCATTTAGATGTCATTATAGAACCTTATTCTCAGAAAGAACGAATTTCGTGAAACACGTTTTTTCTCGCGTCATTTCTTAGGACTTTGTTGTGGCAAAAAGCTTCTTGGATTTTGGTTTTCAGACGATGCAAGATCAGCGCAAGCGATATGGCAACACGGCAACGTTTGATAAATTGAGCAATTTTTTGTCTCAGGAAATTTTGGTCATCAATATTTTAATGGCTGAAGAAAATCGCGAAAAACTGTACGAATATGTTGTATCTTGGTAGTTTTATTAGCAATTTTAAGTGGTAAAATTCGGTTTGATTAGCAATTTTAAGTGGTAAAATTTGTTTGCTATCATGAACTAATTCATGCTATAGTTGTTATTCTATCAGGCTACTACTACACTTGTTAAAAAATGACTGACACTTCTTCTACCTGGTGAAAATAATGTTTATCTCTATTATTTTCACCTCAGATCACCTGATATTATGAGAAGAATCATGTCAAATCTTACCATTGGAGTTTCAGGTGACGAATTGTTTTGCTATTGGTGCACTGTATAGCACTGTACACTGGTTACCTCCACCAGCGAATTAATTATGTATCATGCATACATTATACAATGAGTGTATCATGCATACATTACACAATGGGTATATCATGCATACATTATACAATGGGTATATCATGCATACATTATACAATGGGTGTATCATGCATGCATACTTTATACAATGGGTGTATCATGCATACATTATACAATGAGCTAATTAGTATTCCCTGTAAAGCAAGACAAACCTTCGCTAATATGTCATCGAATTTTTATCCGAATTTAACGAAAATGTAACCAATTTGTCCTTGGGCAATGTCCATTAAGCCTGGTTTACACTATCCAAGGTTCTGTGATCACAGTAGGAATTTTGTATGGGTAAATTCTACGTTTTGAAAGATTTGTAAGAAATGTTTAGTGAGGGAACTGATTTGTTATTAAACACTTTGAGTTAGTTCCCCCAAACATTTCTTACAATTTTTTTTTCAAATCTTGGAATTCCCCGATGCAAAACTCCTACTGTGATTACAGAAACCTGGATAGTGTAAATCAGCTTTTACGCCCGTATTCTAAAAGCTCACACTCAAAGAGTGGAGGTTCAATCTGAGCTTCCCTTGAGTGTCAATGCTGTTTTTGAATAGCTGGAGGGTTAGTACTTACTCAACCTTACCCCAGGGTATTCGCTCTTTCCCTGCTGGAGCGAAATACCCTGGGAACGAGGTTGGTACTTACTATGAATATGTGACTACTCATTCTCCAGCTATTCAAAAACAGCACTGACACTCAAGGGAAGCTCAGATTGAACCTCCACTCATTGAGTGTGAGTGAGCTTTTAGAATACAGGCGTTATAGTCTCACATTTTCGAATATATACCGAAACAGGGTATATACATGGGCTAAATATTTTGACATAAGGCCGTCATGTTTGTATGTGTTGTAGATTATGCCCCGAAATCTCATGCAATTGAAACGATGGTTGTGTACTTACTAAATGTTCAAGAGTGGGCATTTCTCTCTGACTTGGATGTCAGAGGAGCCAAGGAAGCTATGGACTATAAAGAGGTAAAGACGGAGGCGGTGGGGAACCAACGCAACTCACAACGATGTCAATACCCCCCCCCCCCTTGCATGCAGGAATATAAGCATCAGATAAGTTCAATTCAGTCCCTGTAGAATATTCTCCCTATACTCAGCCCAATAAATTCTGCCCTGCTCAGTCCAATAAATTCTGCCCTGCTCAGCCCAATCAATTCTGCCCTATTCAGCTCAATAAATCCTTCCCTATTCAGCCCAATCAACGTGTTCTTGTTTGTTTTACTGAAGCTCGCTCGCAGTATTGCTAGTGTGTGTACCAGTCTCACTAAACCACCTCTGTGGAGGAAAATGGCCAAGATTATGTGGGATACTAGTAAGTCCAAATTGTGGTTAATCCACCATATTACATGGATGTTATCTTTATGATAAAATTATTGAAATTGGCATTACAGCCGAGATCATGTGGTAGGAGGCCAACATTTTCTTCTCCCCTCACCACCGACCTCCCACCACACACACCCCAACCCTACCTCGACTGTACCAATATTCTCAGTTGTCACCTTTATATTTCTTTTCATAGTTTTGAAGATTTTCACATCGACAGTCCAACATAAACGAATGTTGTCTGATGGTACTCTTATAGACATCAAACGCGAACCTGAACACTTGTAAGTAGCTTCAGCCTTGTCATGTGAACATACTATGGAATACTTTGTACATTTGCAGTATATATTATACATTTATATCCATAACCTGGGGGCCGGTTGTACGAAAACCGGACAGCCTTATCCCCCGGATACTGATTTTCCAACGGTTGCAAAATTGCTTGGAAAGCTATAAAATATGGGTCTCATAGTTAATAAAAACAAACATTAACTTATGAATACAAAAGTTTAATATCAGTTATACCAATTAACGGATAATTTTAGAAAGTTTGTAAAAATCCGGTGGATGGCGCCTTCCGTCCTTCGTAAAACCTGCTCCAGAGTTATAACGTAATATTTTTTGTATATTTACACTGATCTGGCCTAATACCTTCCCCGATATTCGTTTTAGACCACATTTTGTGAAATTTATTCAAAAAATAAAGGTGAGACCTTTGCAGATTTTTGTGTGTCCAGAACATCTGCTATAACGTCGTCGTCGGACATATTTTAGCTACATTTATTGAACTTAAACCAGAAATCACAAACTTTTGTTACACTTTTTAGGACGAAACATGTTTAAGTTTGATAATGTCATGTTTGGAAAGAATGCGAAGTTTAGAATCTCCCAGCGATGAGGAAGATAAAGCCGAACAAAAGAATACGACGACGATGTACAGTCATTTGTGGCCAACATCCATTCCATCGTAAGTTTTATTATGCAAAATTGGTTCTTTGCATTCTATTAGAGAGGCTCAGATTTGACTTCCACTACCATTACGGGACCATTAACCAATCAGATGTATTTGAACTATCTGTATGATTAACCAATCAGATGCATTTGAACTATCTGATTAACCAATCAGATGTGTACTAAGCAAGTGAGAGGTAGTGGTAGTGCAAGTCAAAACAATACAAAAGTACGCAGTATTTAAGTACTACCATTTAGGCTTTGTTCAAACGTCATGTCGAATACAATTCGCATTAGGTTCGAGGATCCCGGAACTACATGTTGATAACATATAATCTGGCTGAATTTGAATGTATAAGTATAAAACTTTGTCGACAAGACACCTCGCAGAATTTTGTGAAAATTTGTGCTAGATTTGCTCATAGGCTAAGATACTGTAAGCTCTTGTAGCCGTACATATTGGAGGGAGCATAATATTGATTAAAACGTGATTAAGCGACCTATATAGTTATTGCGTTACAGTTGTTGCATATTTTTCGTTGGTTTTTTTAGGGCTTCTTCTATAGAATTCCCACAGATTGGCCTGGCCTGGCTGGAGGTGATCGACCACAGTGTCACTGTCCATCCGTTCAATCCTGCATTCCTTAAAACACAGGGAGATACGTTTTATGGTAAAGTACATCATATCGAGTTGGTCTGCTGATGATTCTGTAATGCTATAGGCTTGAAATATAACCATTTAAATTGACGACTTCATTTGGTCCATATCTTGGGTGTTCAGCAGCGACGTGCTGGCTCTGTTTGTCAGACGAGTGCGCCACTTTGAATCAGGTTATCATAACACCAACATTTTCCATAACTCATATCATAACTTCATTTTTCCAGAAAACGAAAACCATCTGAATGCATTACGTTGTTATTTACAAGCTGGAGCAGCTGCCTCAGATTTCTTCTCTTTGGCTGTTCCAAAGGCAGTCTGGGATAACACGGTAATCTTGATTTTAAAATTGTACAGCCCCCACCCCCCGAAATGTAAATGCCCATTGGATTAAATAACAGTAGTGTGATTGAAATAAGAATTTTGAACCAAATAAGACGAAAAATCTCAAAAGCGCAACATCTTATAACAGGCAATTTATCATAAGGGGTATATGTGGATTTTGTCTAGAAGAAGGCAACCTCCACCATTTGTATCCAAGATTGTAGAATTGGTTTCATTTTCTAGGTATACCGCAAAATGATAGCATGTTGCTCTGCCTTCAACGCCCATACGCAGGTAACGTATTCCACATTCACTTTCCAAACGCCTTTCGCAATTGTGTCATTTACTCCATGTTAATTTCAGGGGGTTATTTTTAACTCCAGCGGAGTTATTTTGAAGTAAATTTAAATCCAAATGTGGAGTAAGACTGAGTTCAAAATAACTCCACTGTTATTTATCGTAGGTTGCAGTACTGTGCCAATTTCTGGAACCCTTGGACTACTCTTTGGCTTTTAATGCCATGAAACAAACAACACGGTAAGTATTGACTTGAATTATGTTTTCTGTTGCAGTTCAGTGTTGTCTATTGAGGTGTTTTACTTTCTGTTTTTTGCAGGAATGATGCATCAGAGTTTTACTACAATTGTATTTGGGACGTCACTTTACTGGAGTTTGTAGTTCGTATCCTTATAGTTGCTTTTTGTGTGACCAGCAAAAATTTATCCGTTTTAATATTCTTACTAATGAATCAGTGTGTTGCATTTTTTCAACACTAGCGATGAAAGCCTTAAAATTAAGCTATATATTGCATGGAAGAAAAAACTAAGATAGAAAATACTAAGGTAGTCAAATGTTCATAACTTCATTGCACCCCACCCCACTATTTTGTAAAATGTCTGCCACTATTTTCAGTGGCGTAGCCAGAACGATAGTTGGGGGGGGCATATTCATATATTCGTGTTCACATACCATAAAAACAATTGATTTCAAAGGAAATTAATAAGGCAGAACAGGAATATATGAATATGCTCCCCCAATTATCGTTCTGGCTACGCCACTGACTATTTTTCGCCTGTAAAAGTATCCTTGCAGTACAAATCTACCAGACATCGTGGATCTTTTCCGAGTATTCCGTTCTCAATTTCAAGGAACACTAGAACAATAGGGGATGGCCTAGAATTGGCTGGAACATTTTAAAACTGATGGAACTATCCAGTATAAATTTAATTAGGTCGTATTTCCACTAAAGAGTTCCTTGACATCAGCTTAAGAGTTCCTTGACCTCAACTTAAGAGTTCCTTGACCTCAGCTTAAGAGTTCCTTGACCTCAGCTTAAGAGTTCCTTGACCTCTCAGCTTAAGAGTTCCTTGACCTCAGCTTAAGAGTTCCTTGACCTTAACTTAAGAGTTCCTTGACCTCAGCTTAAGAGTTCCTTGACCTCAGCTTAAGAGTTCCTTGACCTCAGCTTAAGAGTTCCTTGACCTCAGCTTAAAAGTTCCTTGACCTCAGCTTAAGAGTTCCTTGACCTCAGCTTAAGAGTTCCTTGACCTCAGCTTAAGATATTCACAGCAAACGTGGTGAGAATGACAAGAAACAGATTGCTGTAAGTATGGTTTCGAAATTAGGGACCGGTCATAAAGTAACTGCTAGGGTGGGCTGGAGTGATTTGGGATGGGCCATGGAAAATGAAAAAAAAAAACATGCATGTCTACTTCAAAAAATAAACAAAACTATCCAAATTATCAAATGCAAATGATGCTATTGTCTATCGAAGCCAGTGCTTTGTTTATACAACAACAAAAAGTGGTCGAATCACAGCAAATACGATCAACTGGAGAGCAGCTCAGTACCAATGTATTTGTCAAGCTTGGTGGAATTATGTATGTCAATACAGTCATTACAGTGCCGTGCATGTATATTTACAATATTCATACCAGCAAATTTATTTTATTATAAACGTGTATTTTCCCAATTTAGATTGGGTGGGTCATGAAAATTTTTTTGTAAAATTAGATGGGCTTTGAAATTTTTATCTACATCCTATAAGATGGGTCACCAAACTTATTGGCAAAATTTGTGATTTACCTCCAGCCCACCCTACTTTATGACCAGTCCTTTATTACATATAACCAAAATTTAAACACAGCGATTCATTCCCAAAAACTAATCCTTGTCATGAGCCTTTTTAAAATGCGACGTGACAAATTATTAAGTCCCCCCCATATAATCCTGGTAGCGCCACTGTGTTGGATCTCAGCATTCTCAGGTAAACTATTTTAGATGACGATACCGACTCAGAATTGCTTGACGGTTCTAATGCTTCACTATAGATTTAAGATCAAATATGTTATATACGGATATCGATGGAACTAGAGTGAGTTACAAAATACCACTGATACCGAACCAATCATCCCATACCTGTGTTAAAAGCGGCTTTCTGATTGGTTCCGAACAGGTGAGTTTTTTCGAATTCACCCGCGATAAAGCTGCTTACGTTGCCGTCCGCATCAGTAATTAACAATGGCGGCAAAATTTAGCTGATAAACCTAATAAAACTTTAAACTGATTTTTTTCAACTAATCCACTGAGACTGAAGAAAAACGAAAAGAGATGAAATGAAGGCAATTTAGATGTAGATAAAGAAATATTCAGAGCTCAATGATTTTTTGGCCGAGAAAATATTGACAATACATCGACGAATTTATCGCAAAGAGCGGGCGTCCCAAAACAACAAAAAAGATCACTTTCGCAGTGTGTATGGGATAAAAACCAAGCGTACTTACAGATTCGGTGCATCCGGGATTGACAGCTACCAGCCACCCTCGGTGCGTCAATCCCGGACACACCTCCCGGCAAGTACGTACGTTCGATCCGCATCGCGGATTCGATCCCCATTGCAGTCAGGCCATTTTTCAGTAACTCAGAGTAACATCATGTAAAAATTCGTCAACATTTTTATTTCTAGGTGCAAGCAATCAGCAAACCAGAATTAAACAGTTGCAACCCACCTGAAATCCTTCAGAACGCCAAACGCATCAGGAACACTAGATTTCTTCAAATTCTTGTAAAACAGTATTTGTAAATTATGATAAATAAAAAGTACGTTCTTTAACTAATCTATATTATTAATGAAAAACTGTTGTACTATTTGTATTGCATTTCATTCTGTCTGAAGATGACTTTGAAATAAAGTCGAAAATTCACAGTCTCAACCTGCGTCTTGTTTTGGATCATATATTGTAATCTCAAGATGTCTCGTCTTTACGGAATTTGTTTTTACTTTACTTTTTTTAAATTGTCGGCTGGTCATGGTTTTCTACCTTACAAAATCTTTATACGGTTTTCCCGCAGAAGTGAGACCCGCAGGCTTTTAGCCAGAAGGAAAAACGAAAAACGCACGCCTAGAACGAAAAACGCACGCCTTTGGACGCCCAAATTCTGGGGGGGAAGGGAAATTATTTTCAATTATTTCCGTATTAAGTATATTAATATATCTGAAACGAAATAGCTTCAATTCTCAATATTATTATACATTTGACATTTTGATCAATTTGATGGTGTACCTGGCTGAATGAAAATGTCATAAGTAAAGAAGCATAGCGGCACAAACTTACAACGCCAAGTGTGTTTGACAAATTTCTAACGAGCTTGGAACAGATACTGACATGAAGTAACAACGTAAACTTCAAAGGTTTTCCAGAGGAACGTTTTCTCGGACCCCCTTTATTGTGGATGTATTGTTATGCCAAAGTTGGACGCTCTCTTTTAGGACCCAGGCTAAAAGCCTGGTTCACCTCCGTACTTATGTAAGTACTCTGTGCCCCTGCTTTATATGTATGTTATTATTCCCAGACCCCCCAGTCATTTTAAAGGCACAGTTGACACAGTTCAGCCTTTTGAATGATGGGTCCGGTTATTGAAAAAACTAACTAGGAAAATCAATTAAGCATAATTCAAGATCAAAAGTTAATGTTTTTAACATTTTAAAACATTCTTATTGTTTAAAAACATTGAATTTACTGATCATAACGCACCATAAAAACCATCATTCAAAAGGCTGAACTGTGCTCTAAAATAGCTCGGAATTTATCGACTTGCATCGTACAGTGCCGAGATCCCGACGGAGTGCCGGACATTTCCGAATTTTAAATGGCATGGCCGAAGAATGTGGAGAAGCAAGGAAGAAAAATGGAGGATCATTTTTTATCAAACTTACCTTTATTGGAAGGTAATATGCTTTATTTAATATCAATCCTTGTAGTAGAGTACTTAGATTACCAATATAGGTGGAAATTTTGGACATCGAGCCCGAATTTAATGCGATATTTCGGCATAAAGTTTGTGCTTTTGCTTTGCACGTGGTTCGCTTTATGGGCGATTGTCGAACTTTAAGACCGTGTTTTAATTCATTATTGTTGTCCACCAAATGAGTAAAAAGAATAATTAAGATCTAGAATTGTTTAAGTGTCGAAAAAATTTATCTCTTCTGAGTTCTTGCCGAAATTTTGTATATAATTTAAATGCTGCATACAGGGATCAGAAATGTACAAGCTGATTTCATCAGCTTGTACATATTTTCAATCTTGCGACAAAATATTTTAAGAAGGCCATGTAAAAAATATCCCGGTTTATCATCAGTGGCAGCAGAAAAAACCTGTGCGGGCGAGCTGGATTTTTTTTTACCAAATCACATTTAGTAGGTGCACGAAAAAATATACTCAAATATGCAGCACAGTTCTATGATATAATATTTTCAATGCTATTACACTTTTCATTAATATTACAATTGCCAAGGCCCAAGCACAATATCATACACGTCAATATGAACTCGTGTTTTCAACTGGCCGACCATTATGAAAATTTTGCATGGGTTCGTCGCACGGTCCTCCAGAATAGTGATGCGCATGCACATAGAAGTGCATGCGTTCCCTGATGATAAACCAGGATATTTTTTTACAAGCCTTGCTTTGCTTGCTGAGTAAAAAAGCTTGGTGAGCATGGTTTGAAAAGAAGATTGTTCTTTTGAAGCACCTCTACTCCAGGCTCAAATAATATGCACCGGTAGCAGTGTAAAGCCTTTTTCTAGTACATGGGCTGGCAAGGATTCAGAGAATGTCAAAAAAATAAAAAGGACAGTATTTGCTAAATTTTAAAACATTAACTTGATTTACCAATACAGCAGATGCCTGGGGTCGAAATGAAGTTGAAAAAAATCTCAATCAAATTTTAACATTTCCAACTGGTTCCGTTGGCATATTTCTGATCAATTTTGAACATATTTACAAAATATTTGTGATTCAGGCTTTATATCCTGGCTGGAAAACCAGAACCACAGGATATTGTTTTGTTTCAGGCTCTGATGTTCATATTAGGCTGTTGCGGTATTTGAAAAAAAACGAAAACCAATACTGGGAAAAAAATACCGATATATCGGTATTTTTTCGCGATTGTATTTTGCTTAATTTTATTGCAAAATTTGCTTGATTTTATAATGCAAAATTTTCTGTTTTCAAATTACGCCAAAACCCCGATATAACAAGAGAAATATCTGCAAAATGACATATTACACCTTGCAATGACAATATAAACAACCACGTTTGGCTCTCGCTCTAACCCTAATTAAGGATTTTTCCGCAGAGTTAGCACATTGATCGTCTTTGTCCTTCTGAAATAACTCCAATCAGCGCTTGAAAAAGCTTGATATGACGTTAAAATATACAAACGTAAATGACTAAACATGATATCGATAATACCAAGAAATATCAATATTCCGATATACCGGTATCAAAAATTTCAATATCGAGTAATCGATATTTATAAAAAAACGATAATTATCGATATACCGCAACAGCCTAGTTCATATTGAGTTTTTCATCTCGCTAGCCAAGCTATTCACACCCTCAATAAAATTCTCATCATTTCTTGTAGATGTACAATGCAAGGTAGTTCCAAGAATGTTGCAAGACCCCATGATTATGAAAAATGGACACATTCCAAGATCCTGAATAAGAGGTAAATGATTTTCTTCTAATTATTTCTAACCTTCGATCTCCTTGTATTTTGTGGACAATTTCCTTTCTAAATATACATTAATTTGTTTCATGTTTTCAATTATGAGTTTTTTCAATTTTCTAGATGTGTGTTGCAATTTCAAAGAATGTCTCAAGTTGTTGGTTGAAGTGTTCTTGATCACAAAAAATAACACTGTCTATTGGAAAGTATATAAAAGGTCTTAATATTTTCCTGTCTTATCTTACATGAAATGTTTTGAACATTATATGATTGCTTGTGATCAATAGTTTCAAAAATCCTGGTCCCTCGATTACTTGATTAAGTTTCGTGTTGCCACTGATCGCAGAAAATCTATAATTTTCAAAGCAAATAAGCATTTTATGAGCAAGCCACATAATGACAAACTGTCTGTTTTTTGAAAAATGTTGTTTAACAGTGATGATTTTGTTTGGACATGCATAAATCTTAAAGTACAGCATATATAAATTTGTGTTTATCTGTGTTCTATCTGAGAACATAGTTGTTTCTACATATTTCCAAAGTTTTTGTCAAATTATATAAAAAAATGAAAAGTTTGTCAGTATTTGGCTTTCTTATATAAACATTGAGAAGATTGAGGTGGTTTTTATTACAAACCAAAGCGGTTACTTACAATTAAAACGTGAATTTATTAGTTTTAATTCAGGATTGGGTATTTTCTTTTAGTAATGTTTCGGTATTAATTTGGAGTATGTTTTCATTAAAAGAATTAAAAGAACATTGATGAACATTTGTCTCATCGTAATTTGTGTTTTGAACTTATCAAAGTGCATTGTGAAAACAATAAACTTGTGTTCCATCTCAATCTTCTCTTGTTTAAATGGACTTTGAGTGTTTGTTGAAAGTTTGGAAAGTTCATCTGAAAACTTTTAAAAACTTTCCCAACTTTAAAACAAATACTTAAGGTCGAAATAAACTAGGATATTGCCTTAACCTCATTACAAAGTGGAACTTACTTAAATATGGATGAACTGAAGCTCAGCAAACTATACTTAATTTGGGGGGTAATGTGAGATGGAGAAAATAAAAGAAAATGGATTATCATGCATGGCAAGGAAAACCACAACCAGACTACAGGATGATTTTCTTTGGAATATGTTTTAATTATAGGGAAGAAAAAACAATCATTATTGAAAAGTATATATTAATTGTTTGGTAAAGCAATCCAATAATTGGAATAAATTGAGGCTGAAGATAATTGACAGTTCTTTGTGCTATGTACGTGTTAATCAATGCATATATTCAAGCACAGAATTAACCATTTGTTTTATCGCCAAACATACATAACTACATGATTGCAAAAAGAAAGTGGCAGGGACACTGCAACAGCACATAGCCAATTATTGCGGACCCTTTGAATTAGTATTCATCAAAATTTGTGTGTGTTTCATCACACACAAGAGGCAATCACTGAGATGCATGTTCTTTGTGTACCAAATTTTATAATCTGAATAAAAAGTTCTAGATTTAAAAAAAAAAATTTGATTTAAATAATCTGACCTGCAACCCTAATTTATTGATTAGGTGTAAAATTTTTTAAGCTTGAATTTCATATTTTATTTCGAATCAGATTCAATGAATTAATTTTGTACTTTGGTTTGGATACTGAGATGACAAGATTTATAATTTGTATTATCTGGTTGCAGTTAATAATTGTTCAATGTCAATTGCTTCAGTTCAACATTATATTCGAATAGTTCCACTTTGGAATGGTGTGTTATAATAGTCATAATAATAATATAAGCAAACAGGTTTACATGGCACTCGGACATGGTCTTTTCAACAAGTACGCAAAGGTAAGTTTATACTTCAAAAAGGTCTGTTTTAACCTGACACGAATGCTGTCCAAAATAAACTAAAATCAATCTTTGTGACCTTTCAATGAAATTTCATATGTTGAATCGACAACCCTGCATGAGCTACTACCGTATATGTCTTTTGATGTTTGTGTTTGGTTTGCTTTAATGTTGATACTAGAAATTGATGAAAATGCAATATAATATTTTGAATATTGATAGAGATTCTAAGGATTGAATGGAAACTGATTTTTCCTTGTGAGGACTTGAGAAAATTGTTTGTCTTCTTTTGAGTTAACAATCGAAGTATATACCCAACAAAAACTTATTTCCTGTTTTTCTTATGCAAAACAATAAGCTTTTTTCCAATTGAAAATTTTCTTTTGAGTTTTGGTTTTGACCAATATAAATAAAAGTGTAAAAAAAAATAAGAAAATATTTCATGAACATTTGAAAGTTTGGTTCAACCATATTTTGTGTGTTTCTGTACATGGTCGCTACATGTTTTGCATCAAAAAGTTTTTTTTTATATATATATATATATTATAAAACAGAACGTTTCCCTAGGTGAACTTTAGGAGATGTTTGTTTGTAAAATAGTGGATCAAAGTGTATCATTTTATTGTATTTATCGAGGACGAGAAATGCACCATTTTAAGCAAAGCAAATTGAAACTGAATTTTTGTTCGAAAATTTATCAGAATTGGAGAAATAACATTCTTTTAAAATTTTGTTCAACTGCATTTTCATCACTTGAATTAGTATTAACATTATATATAATCAATTCAAAGCGGTTGTCAGGTTAAAAAGGACGCTCAAAGATATATGGCTCCGAAAGACTGCAGGATAATTTCAAATTCTTCAATATTTCTTGATTTGGCACTTGAAAGAAATGTTCAATTGAGTATGGAACCCATGATCTAGTAATGTTTCGATGTTTAAAGATATAATTTCTGAGTTTAAAGAAGTATGCTGTCAATGCATTGTCAAAATGTTAAGGCACTTTGAGGAAATTAATTTGCTTCAAGAAATGGAATCTAAACATCACATCGCGATAAAATCATTATTTTCCATACTCAAGCGAAAATTTTGGTCACTTTACCAAAAACAGTTCGTATTCAAAAAAGTAAAAGAGCATGTTCGATTTACTTTGTCTTTGAGCCATATATTTTCTTTGTAAAACAACCTGCATGGTGTTACGCTTTTGATTTCTCCGTCAAACTCGTAAAATTTATCATTACAGTTGTTTTACAATATTTATTTTGAAGTATAAACATTATCTTGAGAAGACCAGGTTCTCTTGTTTCCTCAAGAATTAACTTTTTTAATGTTAATTCGTGGGCAAACAAGTTTTTTAATGTTGTGTTTTCACTTGTGCTTATTCACTTGTGTTGAACACAATGTTAATTGCTGTCTTTGTGCCATGTTCTGTTTTCTTCTATTGTTATTTAAATAAGTATGCAGTGGTTGTTCTCTTTTTATTGTTATTCAATTTGTAATTACAATTCTTTTCAATAAATTGTTCATTAATTATACAAGAGAATCCTTTTTAATTAAAAATTCAATTCCCATGGGAATTGAAAAAAAAAAATAAAAAAATTCCCCCACCCCGGCCGGCTCCCCAAGTACTACCTCCACTTCAAGCAGAAGTACTTCTACTATATAGTAAAAGTACTTCTACTTAAAGTAGAGGTAGCACTCGGAGAGCCAGCCGGGGTAGCGAGGCGAAGAGAAGACCAACCTTGCAAATGCAAAATAATGCAAATTGCTAAGTCGATCTTCTCTTGAGAGCAGCCACGCGCATACCTAGCAAATGTAAAACAACAAGCATTAGTAACAAATACTCGACATGCAAATTTTGAATCCCATGGCCGAAATGACAAGTGCCCCCCACTGATTCCTACCAACTGCCTACCTGCCTCAATCCTAAGCTGTCTGCCTCAGTTCTAAGCTGTCTGCCTTGGTCCTAAGCTACCTGCATCCCATTCGTAACTTCCGCTTTCCTCACTATCACACAGACACTCACAACTGCCCAACCTGCCACCAGCCCGACTGCCCACCCTTAAAACTGAAGGAATTAAAATTTTGGTAAAGTATACATAATTAATTTAGTTAATCGAATATTTTAGGCGAAACGTAAACAGATAAATTAAAAGGTTGACAATCAGACGAAAGACCGCGTTTACAAACAGGTGAGTTTCTTACTTGCCTTTTTACATGAATATACGAAACCTCAAAATCCAGATTTTTCTTTTTATATGCTTTACTAGCAGGCTATAATTTTTGTTTAAATCGAAACTCAACGCATTTTGCAGATGTTAGGAAAGTAGTCCTTTTTCAATGTTCAGAAAAGATATAGTTTCTTTTTAAATATGCTCTCAAAATTGTAATTCCTTTAGTTTAGCCTAACCCCATGCATCCTACACACACGGCGCACACTCTCGCACTCCATACATTTAGTTAATAAATTACGTTATAAACAAAAAATCAAAATAAAAAGATAAATTACGTTAGCACTAGCTATCCTATAACCCACTTAGACTGACTTTTGGATTCTGCTTCGAAACGTAAGATCTTAACTGAAAGGGCATGGGCTTGAGTTTTGTTAACTGGTCCGAAGTAAATACAAACCTTAAACTTACCAACCAAAGGCTCGCTTAAATAAGCATGAGAATGCATATAATTGTTTTTTCATAGGAGTTTAAAATCCAAACGAAAATTACAATGTCGCTAATTTAGTGAGCATATAGTACTGTTTGTCTATATAGTTCAAACAGATCGAACGCAATTCTCATACTCATTTAACCGGAACGCCTTGATGATCATTTGCATGGCACGTCGCAGCTGCTCTCAGTAACAAGATACTTATCATATTTAATCAAAGAGGATTCATTATAAAGTCGCATTTCCACTATGAAATCAATATCAACATGAAAACAAAGCATAGCATATTCCCCTGGGAATTAAAAATACGGAAAAAAATAAAATTGCCAAATACCTTTTTGCTTGCGCAAAATAGAAAAAATTAGCATAAAAAACAAAGGATAGTATATTCCCATGGGAATTAAACACACGAAAAATAATCCACCAATTCTTACTTTTTAACGCTTGAAATAGGGTTGCTTGTTTTCATCGTATGTTGATTTCATTGTGATTTATCCCATAGTTAACATAATATAAACATGGGTAGGGACAGCATCTGACAGCTACGATTTTATTATCAACACCAACTGACGATGAAAAATAGAAAATGCTTGGTGCTAGACTCCAAGCCATGTTTATTTTACATCAACTATTATGGGTGACGCGGATTAATATTTCGTTTTCAGAAAAGACTATACAATCTTCAATATTCCAAGCAAGATTTCGTGCTTTTTTAGGTATTGTTGCGTTGATCTTTTTTATACAAACAGTTCTCTATTATCTCACTACGTTTTTGAAAGTTTTACCCAAACGTTTGACCTAATTTTGAGGGCAATATATTATTTCTATACTCCAAAAATTGGAAAACAAAGTGGAAAAATTCGCCAAACTCGTAGCATGTTTAATTTCAAATTTTTCAATGAGAAAATCATTGAATTCACTTGAATCCCCTTTGATCTTTAAATAAGTATTTTGTCTTTAACTAACTTACATTGGTAAAATTTTTTGCTACTTTCATATTAGCAATGTTGTTGTTTCCGATTGTTGCGAATCGTCATTCTTTTTTTGACTCCATGCCATTCGTGAATTGCTCTTTCTGTTCTTTTCATCATCTCTTTTCATCACATCAAAATTTCATCACATCACCTTTTGAAATTAAAAAAGTATCCATGAGTCCATGAAATAGGATTGGATCATATCATTAAAAGGCTTGAGTAATATTGCCAGGATTTTTTTATTAGATTATTCGGTCCTCACAATTTTACCAAATTATCACAGACAAAAAATTTCCATGGTTATTTTAGGCTTCGGCCCCAATTCAACGGCGTTTATTATCCCATAATAACAATTTTGAATTGCATGGTTAAATTGCATTAAAACATGAAATATTGTCAATGATAACCTAGACCTAGGCCCTAGCCTTTGCTCGGGCAGGTTTTGGTAAATTTTGGGCCAGTATTTAGCAAGTATGACGTCAAATGCTTTTGCCCGTCCTCCGCCCCACTCCCAAGGCGCGTAGTGCCAGTCTTCTCGTGTGAAATGCACCAAAATTAAAAATAGAAGGTCAAGGTGCAGCTGAAAGAGTCTTTCATGTGACGCCACGGCAACTGTGTTCAGTGTGTTGGAGTATAATATCCAGTGGCGAGGGGGGGGGGCTAAGGGTGTGCGACGAATTTGTGTTGCCATCATAGGTCACCTATTATTTTTTGTTGCAACAACAAAAAGGTAGGAATTTTGTCTGCGCATGCGTCAAAATTGGCGCGGTGAACATATAGGAGACCTGGGGAGGGTAATTATCACATTTGATTTTTGAACGTTTTATTTATTTTTTGGCCTAGTTATTTCTACTGAAAAAATATTGTTATTTAATTATTCTTTGGGAAGGTGGGAAAAGTATGCGAACGTTCACGATCGGAAACAAAAATGTAGAAAAATCAAGCTTTTACGTAACTTTATAGGTCGGGAATCGTCCGTTTCCGACGGAAAATCGCGAATTTTGAATTTTCCTATCAAAAAACTTTGACTAGTGAGCGAAGAAAGGTTCTGACCAGTACATTTTTGCGAAAACGAATTTATATTTTTTTGCGAATCTGCTGTTCACCAGAAACAGCCAGAAAGAACTCGAAAACGTTTAAGATAATCTTTCGAATGCGCCTAAAATTATTGACCACCGCTGACAAAATCCCTACCTGTTGAAACAACACGAAATAAGGATAGTGCATGATACTTAAATATCGAAACAACGTTTTGGAATTATAGTTGTTGGTATAGGCATTTGTACGGTTTCGAGTGCAATTTGGAAAAAACGAGTGTAATTTGAGTCTGAAGTACGAGTGTAATTTGAAGTCTTTGAAAAGCTTACGAATGTATGTTTTTCCAAATTGCACGAGAAACCATACTATTACTTATTAATAATATATTAAATTCATGGTCACTTCGATTCCAGGCACGAAACACATACGAAGTAAATCATTTAACCCATTTAAACCCAACAACTTTAATACAAGGTTTCAACTCTCAGCACTGAAAATGTGATTTTGTTTTGCTGTTTTCGAAGTATTTCGTTTTGCTACTGTATTTTTTTTTGGCACTGTATTTCAATCAGAATGGAGAACATTTTTTCATGTATATTGCTAGGTTTGAAAGAAATTCCTGCATGCATATATTTCAAAAGTCAGTTATAAGATCACTTACATCTATATTAATCACTTTTGCATTTTCGTTGTTTCTGTTGATCTGGCATCGACGTTCTGTTGATGAGTCCATGTCATCTACCATTCCTTCATCCCGCAATTCAATCGAGTATTGTCTTTTCTTGGATGATCTAGTTGTCTTCACTTCACATTTATCTTCTCTCCGTACAAGCTAGTAAGTTGCGGTTTGATGTAAAAATTTCTTTTCCCTGAAGGATAAATAAACATTTTTTTCAAACAGTTATTTTATCCAAAATTTTTGAAATAGTTTTTCGGTTTTTAATAAGAAACGATTAAAAATCGCTGGCATCCTTTTTCATTTTCTCTTACCTTGATAAAACCTGTGTTACTCTCATCTTGGCAATGTTTTAGGATCTGTTGGTTGTAGGTCTTCATCTGAAATGAAGGATATTTCCCATTAGCAACAAAATAGATTGAATAGTTCACTACACATGTTATAGGAAACATTTGCTTAATATATATACTTTTACTGTAAAGATAGGAATGCTAAAATTTCTTTAAATTTTAAGTACATAAATATAAAAGTCATGGTGTAGCATATCACACAGAAATAAATGAAGAACTGAGTAACAGCGGCGGACACCTGGAGGCGCAAGTGATCACCCCTGTAACAATAATTTGTAACCACGAATTTCTCAATCAAGGTGGTCAATGTGATGTTGCCAATCAAATTCTCCCATCCCCAAATGTCCGCTACGGCTGAGTATGTATAATAGGGTGTAGCAATCAACATGAGTATTTAAAAATATTTAAATTATTGCATATAAGCATTGCACCAGCAAAACTTACATTCACTGTATATTTGGATCGTCGTTGCTTCTGTTTTGTTGGTCGCGGTTTTTCATTTCTGTTGATGATCCATCGTGCATGCTCCGCTCAGTTTACAGTGAACCACCATAAAAAAAATGGGAAAAAATTCTGTTAACAAGCGCAACGATAAGAATTAACGTGTTACAAAAATACAAAATCCGGGTGATAATAAAATGCGGAGCATGCCTAATGAGTAAAAAATAAAAATAATTTTCTTAATTGTATAACATTAATAACAGTGACAAACCGTACTTTTGCATCATCTTCGACGTCTTCTACCACTTTCTCATCTGCTTGTTCCAGTCTTTGCTCTCGCTTTAATTTTGTCCAGTCGTTAACTTCATATCACTCTACCAAAAAAATATGCAATAAAAATTTTAGGGAAAAAATTAAAAAGAAATGGCAAGAGGGAATTTTACGATGTAAGGCAGACTTTTTAAACAGTTGTTACTTGTTCAAAAGCTAGCATCATGGGCATGCAATCCAGCAAATATATGTGTTCACTTATACAATGTTTAAAAATGCACATAAAGTTCTCATGTCTTTGCTACTATGTATGCAGATTCGCATGATTACGTCATTGTTACACACATTAATTTAATACGGTGGCTTGAAACAACAAAAGTAACGCATATTTCTGAAGAAAAAAATCCGATACAAAACACCTTGGGTTTTGGACATATTTTCTATATTTATTGATACCTTCTAGAGTTGAAAAAAGTTTAGAAGTGCTTAAATTTCTTCAATAAAATGCTTTTTATCGAATTTATTCTGTAGATGGGCGGGATATGCAAATTGCTCAACAAACGTCATCATCGAAAAACCATCGGCTTATTTCTTATTGGCTGCTGAAAAATCGAAAATTTCTGAAGTTCATTGACTGCAGTATATTATATTCGGAATTTTCCGATTGTCCAGCAGCCGATAAGAAATAAGTCAAATAAGCCGATGGTTTTTCTGATGATGACGTTCGTCAAGCAATTTTTATCCCGGCTATCTATACAGCAAACTTTCGATAAAAACTAACTTTTTGTGGAAGAAATTTAAACAATTCTAAACTTTTTTCAACTCCAAAAAGTAGTAATAAATTTGGAAAATATATCCGAAGATTTTCATATCTGAGTTTTTTCTCACAAATTCGCAATAACTTTGGAAAATGTATCAAAGATACTTTTAAATCTTGTATGACGGAACTTTCTCTAAGCCGCATTTTAGTAATTCTGTGTTTGAATAAATTAGACCATATAGGCTCAGCACAAAAAGATTATTTTAATAACTACGTTTCGGAGTATAACTCCATCTTCAGGTTAAAAAGTAACTAAAGATATAAAACTTTAAAAACAATCACAAATTTAGACAAAATCCGTTAGGATTGCGTATAATAGCTGACGTGCGCTTCAAACTAATTCGTGTCCGTGCGCGCGCTTAATTTTTTTCCCCCCATGGCGTGTCCGTGAGAGCGTTAAAATTTCGTGTCCGTGCCTGCATATGTAATTACATTAAACCAACAACCTGACCTGAACTCAAAGGATGAGCTGCAGGAAGTTAAGGGATTTTGTATATAGTTTAATGTAATTACATATGCAGGCACGGACACGAAATTTTAACGCTCTCACGGACACGCCATGGGGGGAAAAAATTAAGCGCGCGCACGGACACGAATTAGTTTGAAGCGCACGTCAGCTATTATACGCAATCCTAACGGATTTTGTCTAAATTTGTGATTGTTTTTAAAGTTTTATATCTTTAGTTACTTTTTAACCTGAAGATGGAGTTATACTCCGAAACGTAGTTATTAAAATAATCTTTTTGTACTGAGCCTATATGGTCTAATTTATTCAAACACAGAATTACTAAAGATACTTTTGTTTCAAGCGACCTTATTAATGTAGTGTGTAAATGTACTGTGTCGAAGAGTTGCCAGCCTTAGAATATTATACCATATCACAATACATTGACGTAACCGAGGGTGGGAAAGGGTATTTTCGTGAGCCGTGAATGGTCAATATTTGTTCGCGTGAAATGTGAAATACTTGATTTTAGTGTCGTGAAATGTGATTTGTTCTACGGCCGTGAGGCGTGATTGTCGATCAAAATGCTCCGTGAAATGAGAATCAAGGATGTTTGTTTCGTGAACTGTGATTTTGCTTTGTTTATTTCGATCTATTCTATAATAGTCATAATAAACATGATACGCGATAATCAACTTATATGATCTCACTCGATTGCACAAGAGTAAACACTTTGAAGGCTTTTCGGAGGTCGTCGTACATGCATGTCACTCAAACTTGTAAGTTATGATGTAGTTTTTAACTGACAGGCAGAGAAGTGAGAGAACTTAAAGCGTAGAGACTGTACTATGCATTAAAGATGGTGGGAAAGGGGGGTATGGATCACGTTTCACAACGAAAAAAAAAGCCGTTTCACGATTCACGTGTCTTAAAAAAGCAATTTCACGGAAAACTAGATTCTCATAAAATAATATAATAATAATAGGTTTATTAAGACTATGTTTAATGCATGGTACAGTATCTACGGTTTCAATTCTCTCATTTCTCTACCTGTCAGTTAAAAACTACATCATAACTTACAAGTTTGAGTGCGTGTCCTCAGCGCCAGGAACCTTGTCCTCAGCGCCAGGAACATTGTCCTCAGCGCCAGGAACATTGTCCTCACCGCCAGGAACCTTGTCCTCACCGCCAGGAACATTGTCCTCACCGCCAGGAACATTGTCCTCACCGCCAGTAACCTTGTCCTCAGCGCCAGGAACATTGTCCTCACCGCCAGGAACCTTGTCCTCACCGCCAGTAACCTTGTCCTCACCGCCAGGAACCTTGTCCTCACCGCCAGGAACCTTGTTCTCACCGCCAGGAACATTGTCCTCACCGCCAGGAACCTTGTCCTTACCGCCAGGAACCTTGTCCTCACCGCCAGGAACCTTGTCCTCACCGCCAGGAACCTTGTCCTCACCGCCA